TTAGACCAACCCAACACTGTTTAGATAAACATTAATTAACTGCTCTGTTCTTCTCATATTTAATCACTCCCACAATGACCTGCCAGGCAAAGACTTAGATTTTTTTTTTTTTTTAGTAACTTTTGTGTACTTTGGGAAACTGCTTAAAATGATAGATCACCTCCCTTTTCCCTGATAATGTTCTATGAACATGTTAACTGACTGCAATACAACAGTGTCCACCGATGCTCAACTACCCACCATCAGAAAATCAAAATAACTTAATTCCTACATTCACTTCTGAAATGCTTATTATGAGCCTCCATGAAAGGGGGGACACCTTTGCCATTACAGGAGGTGGGAACACTGGCTGGTACAGACACAGCAAGAGGGTCAGGATGCAGGAGGCTGTGGACCCGGCCTTCACCTGGCCTCCCGACGTTTACCTGGAATGCTAGCGCCACACAGGAAGTCGGGTGGGGCACCTGCTGACGGCAGAAGCTGCTACAGGAGGATGCATGGAGGGAGCCAGAGGGAGCCTTCAGGTCTAGGCTTGGGACGGAAGCCACGGCCCAGGCACCCTGCCTGAGGTCATTATGTTCTATATCTGATTCATACCAAGGGCCAAATTGTGAAGCTCAGATCTGCCAGTCAGTTTATAGGCGTTGACTATAAACTGACTAACTTTTACTGTGAAGATATCTGGCATGTTTCACACTTTATTTTATAGCCGTTCTTAATGGAAAAAAAATCACTACACATTTATAATAAGTAGGTTTTGTGTCACCTCAACGGAAGGATCTACAACTGCACAGCTTAATGGCTGTGAAGTACTAGAAATGAAAAAGCAGAGAGTGAGAAAGGATAGGAAACAGAAAACATAGAGAGAAAAAGGTAATTTGTGAGGGTAAAGAATAATGGAGAAAAAACAGTGATAATGAGATCCAGAGCAGTGATTTCCAATCCTGGTTTTGTAAGAGGCCCACATATGACCAATTACCTCTAGAAGTCACAAAATTCACAAAAATTCAAGGTAACGTTGATTTTAAACCAATTTAACTTAAAATATATTTTTATGGAACTTTAAGAACAAAGACACAAACGTTAGTGAATCAAAATATTAAAACTCCAGAAAGATTGGGGATGACTGGGTTAGAGAGAAGAGAATCATTTTAATTATTAAAATTATTTTTATGTGAACATAAATTGCTGGCACATGTTAACATTCTTCATCATAAATAGACCTGGGTGGGGAAAAAATTTAAAGGTTTCCCTTGGTTTGCTGTTTAGCAAAGAATCCAATTAGACAAATTTTTTACTTTCCACTCAGTGAACAGTTAACTAAGCCCTTCTGATCTACCCCACCCCAAATTCAATCCTGTTGTTTCTAACCAGTCAAGCTTCCTTGTAATGGGCCCTAAAAGAGTCAGAAGTAAGTTCCCGAGAGATAAGTCATAACATAGCTGCAAAGTTCCAGTAATTGAAAAGGGTGGGTGGGTACAGAACAAGTCCCAGCGGACTGTAAATTCCTCCCTTGCAAGATTCCTGTGACCAGGATCTCACAAGCTCAGAAATTACACC